GGGTCAAGGTCGTATAATTTGTAGATGAAGCAACTGTATAAGGAGTGAAGGGGGTCTGGGGGCGGAGCCCTCCAGCATGCAACAAATCAGAAGCCACTGATGATGGGCAAACATTGCCTGCCGAAGGCAGGCTAGCGCCGCAGGCCAAGGTAGGTACGCCAGGCGCGGATTGGAGGAACAGGCCGGGAAACATCGCGAAGCCTGTTACGACAAGACGCGGTCTGGCGTAAACCTACCTTGTATTATACGTTTCTGCGCATGCATAACTATGCATAAAAAAGTCCATAAGAATTTAGTGTGTTGTAACCTGACAACAATATGCTTCTAAACATGAAACCTGTACAACAACGCAATAGGGTACTTCGGAGGAAACCTAGACCGGAAGTCAGCGACAGAACGGGAGAAACAAAAGAGCATCGCGCGGCCGTGCTGAGCGGTGGTGGGGGCCGGAATCGGCAGAGTGGGGGTAGTATGCGCGCGCCGCCTTCACCCCCACTCCGCCGATTTCGACCCCCACCACCGCTCTGCACGGCCGCGCGATGCTCTTTTGTTTCTCCCGTTCTGTCGCTGACTTCCGGTCTAGGCTTTCTCCGAAGTACCCTATTGTTTTGAATCACGATTACATTATTGTTACTTGACAAGGAAGTTGTTACAAAACGAAAGTGTTCTTTCTGGATGGGTTTCCCGTTCAGACTCAAAACAATACTGCTGTTATTTAACGGCATTGCTGTAGATGATTCTGTTGTTATTGGCTGAGCGATAGCGAAGCGTGTTACTCCAGTGCGATTGAAAAGTTTTTTTCTGTCTGTCTGTCTGTGTACACTACTCCTCCTGAACGGCTCGGCCGATCTGGCTGAGATTTTGCAGGCTTATTGGGTATGTTCTTGGCTCGGCACACGCGAAATTTCACTATCCTAGCTCACGTGGTTCAGTTTTTATGGCCGAAAAACACCTAAAAACGGCGAAAAATCGAGTTTTCTACTGGCAGATCACTACTGTCTTGAAGGAAGGGGGGTCTCCCCCCAGCCTCGTCAAATTAAAACGTTACAAGGGTCAAGATCGTGTTATCTTTAGATGAAGCAACTCTATCTAAAATGAAGGGGGTCTTGGGGGCTCCAGTATGCAACAAGTAAGAAGTAACCGACGATTGACAAGCCATTGCCTGCCGAAGGCAGGCAAGCGCCGCAGGCCAAGGTAGGTACGCCAGGCGCGGATTGGAGGAACAGGCAGCGAGACATCGCGAAGCCTGTTACGACAAGACGCGGTCTGGCGTAAACCTACCTTGTATTATAGTGGATTTTTAACAGTGATAGTGTTTATTAGTGGTAGCAAGATTAAACTTGGTAAGAGGGTGCACATTTACTGTTGAGAGGAAAGCAAGCGTTGTTTAAGAGGCCGCGTAGTCAGTTCAAGTTGGCTTAGCGTTTCCGCCCCATGTTTGGATCTCAAGCATTGAGCATGAAGTTGGTGAAGGAGTACCAAGACCGCAGAGCCGAGCCAGCGGAGCTGTGGTTCAAAGGGCCGAGGCCCTTGATACTGAGCTGGGCCGGCCGGCCGAGTACCATCTCCATCAAGGCCATGGCTCGACGCCGCCACACCAAGTCCCCGCCCTCCACCTGGAAGCAGAGATGAACGGACACACTATGAAAATTTGTTGTCACTGTATGACAAAACCGTGGATGACATTTTCATCACTTCGAAATGGTGACAATCTCGTCACACATTGATGACATTTTCATCAAAGCTCCTCTACTTATTGCATGGCATGGGCGTGACAACAATGTCATACTCAAATTTTCAGTGCATAGAAACTCAACGAAGAATCGCTCAGCAATAAGCAATAAACGGCAAAACATCGACACTGAGAATGAAAGAGTCACCACCATCGCCCTTTCATTGGGTAACGCACGCACCGTTGCCCAAATTTGGGTGACGAGCCCGCGGTGACCAAATTTTGGGCAGTCATAAAATCGTCGCCCAAATTTGGGTAACGCCGTCGGCGACGCCGTAAGGTCCCCGATGACGCCCTTCCGGGGCCACCACGATGACCCAATGTGGCGTTGAGGCCTCCGTTCATCGTGGTGGCCCCGGAAGGACGCCATCGGGAACCTCACGGCGTCGCCGACGGCGTTACCCAAATTTGGGCGACCAAACGCCTGTTACCCAATTTCTGGTGATGAATTTTTCGTCACCAAAATTTGGGCAACGAAGTTGCATCACCCATTTAAAGGGTGATGGTGGTGACCAATTCATTCTCAGTGGAGTTTTCTGCAGGCAGACCACTTCTGCCTTAAAGAAAGGCCCCCCAGCCCCGACAAGTTATGAAGTTACAAGGGTCTAGATCGTGTTATCCGTGAATGAAGCAACTCTATCTACAATAAACACAGCATGCAACAAGAAGTAACCGACGATGGACAAGCCCCAGGGTAGGTACGCCAGGCGCGGATTGGAGGAACAGGCGGAGACATCGCGAAGCCTGTTACGACAAGACGCGGTCTGGCGTAAACCTACGTTGTTTAGCAATTCTCCGACATCGTACGCAGGCGTAAGTGTCAATGCCGAGATCGATACCCAATCGATACAAACGTGGCGCCCAGGTCGACCTCCCTTAAAGGCAACCATCAAAACTCGGTAGGGCGCAAGGACACCAACCTTACTTGACGGGGTGCTGGGAAACTATCCGACTTCGCCCGGGCGCCACGGTCGCTTCCACACTGAGAATGAAAGAGTCATGACTTTGAAACAAGGTAGGTTTACGCCAGACCGCGTCTTGTCGTAACAGGCTTTGCGATGTCTCACTGCCTGTTCCTCCAATCCGCGCCTGGCGTACCTACCTTGGCCTGTGGTGCTAGCCTGCCTTTGGCAGGAAATGGCTTATACATTGTCGGTTACTCCCAACTTATTGCATGCTGGGGGGCCCCGCCCCCCAGACCCTCCTTCATCCTAGATAGAGTTGCTTCATCTACATATAACCCGATCTTGACCCTCGTTACCTCTTAACTCGTCGAGGCTGGGGGGCCGAGCCCCCCATACCCCCCTCTCTTCGAGACAGAAGTGATCTGCCTGCAGAAAACAAGATTTTTCGCCGTTTTTTAGGTGTTTTTCGGCTATAAAAACTGAACTAATCGAGCTAGTGTAATGAAATTTTGCGTGTGCCGAGCCAAGGACATACCCAAAATCTCACCGAGATCGGCCGAGCCGTTTAGGAGGAGTAGTGCACACAGACACACTGACAGACAGACAGACATGAAAAACTTTTCAACCCCACTGGAGTAACAGGCTTCGCTATCGCTCAGCTAATAATATGTTGGGCGAGGAATTCCCAATCCCCGAAATTTGAGTCATAATACTATGGAGCCGTGTTGGTAGCCGATACACTGAGAATGAAAGAGTCACCACCATCGCCCTTTCATTGGGTAACGCACGCACCGTTGCCCAAATTTGGGTGACGAGCCCGCGGTGACCAAATTTTGGGCAGTCATAAAATCGTCGCCCAAATTTGGGTAGCGTCGTCGGCGACGCCGTGAGATCCCCGATGACATACTTCCGGGGCCACCACGATGACTCAATGGGGCGTTGAGGCCTCCGGTCATCGTGGTGACGTCATCGGGAACATTACGGCGTCGCCGACGGCGTTACCCAAATTTGGGCGACCAAACGCCTGTTACCAAATTTCGGATAATGAATTTTTCGTCACCAAAATTTGGGCAACGAAGTTGCATCTTCCATTTAAAGTGTGATGGTGGTGACCAATTCATTCTCAGTGTACACCCTCCCTCACGCTAATTTGGGCGAGGAAGCCTTCCTCGTTGAAACTTGGGCGAGGACAAAACCCTCGCCCAAAATCGGGAATTGATCACGCCTTTTTCATTCTCAGTGCATCCCGCACAGATCCTTTCAAGTTTAGAAGGTCTTCCAGCGTCCGGGGGTAAGGGGCCGTTCCTAAAATACGTAACGCTTTTTGAGGCCATTTTTGACCCCCCGCCCCCTATGAAACGCAGCGTAACGCTGCCTCGGACCCCTCCCCCGGTGCGTTACGTGATGAATTGCTAAAGGTTAAAAGCACGCTGAAACTGTCTAAACGTACGAGGAAACCACAATTTCACGCATTTAAGTATAGGTGTGTATGGGTCGATTTGCGTTACATCACGCCGGGTCGAACCCCCCCCCCCATGAAACGCACCGTAACGGAAGCTCTGACCCCCTCCCCCCCTTAGGTGCGTTACGTATTTTATGGACGCCCCCTAAGGGGCCGGCCGGGGAGGGGGCTAGAAAAGTTTTCGAGCGTATTGGCGAGTTACAGTCGTTATCTTAGAAGGAGTCGAAGTATCCATACAAGAGTATCGACAACGTTGAGTGGCACGTATCGACCTTCTCACCTGGAAAGCCGCGTGGAACGCCCGGTCGCGCACGGACATACTGGTGTCGGCGAGGCGCTGGCTGATCATGGCCAAGGGCATGAAGACTCCAACGTTGATCAAGGTCCCCGTGAAGGTGTGTCCGTCAACGTAATTGTTCGCCAGCTGCGACGAAAAAGTTATTGCCATTTTGCAAACTCGACTGAAGCACGGGAGGATCGTCACCCCCTGTTCAGGGTTATTGAACCGCACCGGCCTAACCGTGTCGATGGCATATCTAAAATGTCCTGGGAAGGCGTTTCATCCTCGCATTTCCTTCAAGAACCCCCATTGCACTGTGAAAATTTTGGGAGTCACTTGACAATTTAGAGGCTAATGTTCCATCAAAATATTTCATGACATGGTTTTCACGCCCATGCAATAAGTGAAAGAGCTTTGATAGAAAATCTTGTGTCACTTGGTGACGGCATTTTTGCCATTTGCAAGTGATAAAAATGGCATCGCCGATTATGTGATAAAGTGACTCTGACAACTAATTTGAACAGTGTGCGATGGTGGTCACGAACTGCTACACCTTAGTGTCGGCCCCCCCAGTCCGTCCCTGTGCATAGCAATAGTGCATAACAATACGCTTGAAAATAATTAAAGTTTATACCCACTTGCCTGCAGAGCACTGATAAGAGGAGATGAGAAGCAGCAAACCATGAAATGTATCAAGCTGTCGTAGAAAAGAAACTCCACCTGCCGGGCCAAACGCATGACCTGAAAGAAAAGAGAACTCAAAATATTCTGGATTTTGAGCCGTCCAGGCACGCTCAAACCTGTGGCCCTGCTTTTTATTGTAGCCTTGCATTCCACAGCGGAATTTCCTCACACTCTAAATATTGTACAGTGAAGATTCTTCATTTTATGGTGAAAATGTTCCTTATTATGGTGGTGCAGCTGACTTCGTAACATTCCATCAAGAATTCACTGTACCTTATAGATATTTTGACGAATTTCGTTGGTATTGTGGAGAAAATCTCCACCACAATATGTTGGTGCAGCCTTTCACCGCGAGACATTTACAGTGTAGGCACCTAATCAGTCGAAAATAAAACCTGATTTGTAACGTGACTCTCTTAGGAAACTTGCCGAAAGTGTGCACACTCATCATATGATGATCGTTTTTAAACGTATTACGATGGTTTTTCATCGTAAGGTACGCCCAAGTTTGCACATACGTTATATGCTTAATTTTTTATCGTATTACTTATGAATTTCATCGTATTACGCATGAATTTTACTTTAGTACGTTTGTTCTCATTTCATCGCATGTTACGATGGCCCTTTCACCATAAGAATCTGAGGGTGTGGGCCTTTCTGGTTCGTTAAAAATATGAAAAAATCCAGATCACTCTCGTGATCTTAAACTGTTGACCCTGTCAAATATTTTGCTATAACAAGCTACTTTTCTTTCTGAGGCAAAATAGTTCGTAAGGATTTCAGAGTGCGAACCTTCTGGTGCAGCGCGATGGCCCGCCTCAAGTCTTCCTCGGTCTGCGCTGCCTGCAGCCACGCGCTCAGGGCGCCGTACTGCCCAATGAGAGACGTCTGCAGGCACGTGATGAGAGCCATGGCCGCGTAGAAACCCATGCATCCCGTGATCGCAATGATAGCCTGGAGGCTGCCTATGATCAGGTCGACGGTGTCGTTGGGCGGAGGCGGCCACACTGGCTGAAACGTTCTGCCCGTCATCAGCACTGGCAAGACCACACCAGTGACCATGAGGACGCCGATGCTGCACTGCGAGAAAAAAGTACGGAGCATGTCTGGTCAGTAATTTGCCTGGACCGTCCGTACCTCTCCTACTACGGAACTTCCGTACATTTTTCCTTTCCCGATTACATGAGTTATTATGGGACAAGTACGGACGTTCCGTACTTTCTTCCGTACTTCCGTATCATTTTCGTCTGTACATTTTCCCTGCAAAACTACGGAATTTTTTACAGTGTGATCTGAAGGCAGCGAGGACCGAATCGTTTACGGTAAAAAAGATTCTTGATTTTCCTAGGTAATCGCCCATGTCTTTTCTACAGGCTGCCAGGCGCGGATCTGGCCGTCCGTCCTAGGGGGGGCAAACATGGTGGGTTGCCTACTTTCAGGGGCCGCCGGACAAAGACAAACACGGCAATGAGGGTTGCCCCAGGGGGTTATGGGGGGTTCAGGGGGTCCCAGGGGGTTCTGCAGGTGCTTTTTTCAGTTTTCAACACACGATTGAATGTATGAAAGGAGTGGTAAATGTAAATTGTGTGCGAGCGAAGCAAGCTCAGAAAATTTGCAGTTCTAAGGATCTTTTGGTACTAAACGTGTGCGAGCGAAGCGAGCTCAGAAAATTTGCGGTTCTTAGGGCTTTAAAGGGTGGCAAACGTTATTTGTTTGCGAGCGAAGCGAGCTCAGAAAATTTGCACCTCTTAGGACTTTTTAGAGTGGTAAACGCGTTATTTGTTTAAGGGGGCTCATACATGTTAAAAGCACTTTTTTAAAAAAAAATTTTGATGTAGACGGATTAAGATTTTACAATTTCTGTGTTAAAATCCTTTTAGATAATTTAGTAAGCTTCATTTTGGCTTAAGGGAAAGTGACTTTGGACATTTTTTGGAGATTTAGTCGAAACGTTTAAAATTTTGCTTCTCGTAAGATTTTGTTCGCATACTTGCTCAGATCTGTGGGGAAAAAATCAGGGAGACTCATTCCCAGTAGTGTCATAGAATTGACTAGAATGGGCTTTATATCTGCAATAGTTTTCAAGAAAAAAAATAAAAACAATTTTTTGTTGAAAAATTTGTTTAAAAAATTGTTAAAAAAATTGTTTCTAAAAGTAAAAGTGAATCGTTTGCGAGCGAAGCGAGCTGAGAAAATTTTCAGTTCTTGTCTAGTTCCACTAGTCAATGACAGGGCAAATGCGTGATTTTTTTTTCAGCATGCCTTAGCTTCTGGGGGGGGAGGGCAAAACACCCTTTGCCCCCCCCCCCCGTGTATCCGCGCCTGCAGGCTGCTAGGGAAAACTAGGAACCGTCTGTGCCGTGTGGACCACAGACTATCCTTCGCTTTTCGGGCAAGAGGCTACAGTGTATCGCGCGCAACAGAAGTCCGTGTCTACAGCCACAGCCAGGTATGCAGGCTACACGCGCCGAAACACTTCAAATCTGCACGCTTCAAACTTTACGAAGTATTTTTCAACAGAACGTATTCGTTATGCAAACGACCTTTGCTACACGAAGAAACAACTTTTTCGAAGTACCGCGTATTTGACAAATCATGCAAATGTAACTGTATTCCGAGACGAAGTTGCAACTTACGCACAGAAAGATGAAAATTGGAAGTTTCTGTTATCTCGAATGAAGAAGTCAAATTACACGGACAAAAATAGAAGTGAATATGAGTTCAGAATCACTCACCCAAACAGCCAAGTGAGGTTCTATGACATTCATTTGATTGCAAAAATGTTAAATATTGTTATTGTTGTCCTTCATAACCATCAAGTTCACCATTTTGGAACATCTGCCTCCAAAATGATATTTCTAAGAATGTCTGAATCACGGGGTGTAACAACATTTGAACCATTCATCAAAGTGATTTTCAATGGTGCCATCATTTTCCCTCGTGGACCCGACAACGTTTCAAATACAGTTTGTCAGGTACGTGCTGTGTATAGAGTTGACCATATAAAATGTTTTCCAGTTGATTCATTATGCGTGTGTTTAGATCGTTCTGAAGAGGCTTGAGGAGGAACCATGGATGAACGATGTACTTTTATCATCTCTGAATGATGGAATGTCTATCCGAGTTCCCCTTTCTGCTGTGCGTGATCAAAGGGAGCTACAGGTTTGTGAAAAGCGAAAACAAATTAAAAATAATACATGAATAAAGATTAATTATAGAAACATGTACTCGCGCTGCTATTTACCCCATTGCTCGCGCTATTTACCCCATTGCCGGTGGCGGGGACCCGACTGCGGCACAGTTTCGGAAATTCTCGACCAGACCTACCGATGGGGCGAATAAAATTTTTAGTCAGTCGGTCCCGGGTGATTATCACCGTAGGTTGTCACTCGCGTTCCCCAGGGAAGTGCTTCTTAACTAGACCACTTAGGATGTTGAAATTTGTTTTGAGCTCGCCCCTTGGGGTCCTTTACCACCCCCAATCTTGAGTTTTGAGCTGCCACTTCTGAATCGGCCGTAATAATATCGAGAAGTGGTCAAAAGTGAACTCCGTCCACTTCCCCCGCACCAAGTCCATTTCGAAAAGTGGTGTTTATAACCTTCTGCGAGATGAATGCAGACTTTCTTGTGACCAACATTTTAAAAAGAGTATGTGGGGTCACATCATCGGCCACGGTGACTTTCGGAAAGCAACAGGTGTGAAACAATACGTCATCAAAATTGTTCCCCCAGTTTTCATGCGAACTCCGTCCTCAGTGCTTATTTTGGCACCAAAATCGCAAAAATAGCTTTAGTAATGCGTCCCGGGTCAGGAATTGTGCGTCTTTCTGTTCTGCATCCACCACCACCAAAATCAGCTGGCTGGTGTTGCGGGAAGGGAATCCAAGTGGAATTTAGTCTTCGATTCCGCTGCGTATGTTTTTAAAAACGAACTCCGTCCACCCCCTTTTCTCGAAAACCAATGGTCCAAAAGTGCCCCGATTTCTTCAAAAGTTAGGTTTTAGTGGCCCCTTTGATAAGCGCTTGGTCGGAAGAATCGTATCTCAGCCTAGCGACCAGTGCGTGGCGAGATACAGTGGTTGTAAACGGTACAAGAAATGAACTCCGTCCACCCCTTTTCAAACTGCATATTTCAGCATAAAAATCAGGTTGTCCCGTAACAAGATTGATCAGAATGAATTGTGTCGTCACTTATATGCACTTAATGGGCACCACAGTTCGTCAGACCTGCATTTAAATCGTTTTTTTTAAGGGGGAAATGGCGAACATAACCTCAAATTGCCGTAAGGCGCACCCATACGCCTGTGGTTGCCTGTTTGCCCGGCGCTTCTCTCTGTTCTGTTCAGCGCTGTGCTGTGCACTTAGCTGGGGTTCATTTTACTTTCTTCCACTTCTGTTTTGACCACTCTTTGGCATAATCTAGGACCGTTACCTTGCCTTAGAACTTGAAAAAACAGCCATTGGAAATTTGATTATGAACTATAAATTTCTCCCAATCTTTTTTGGGCTGTCATTTCTAAACGCGTGGGCCGATTTCGCGGAGGCTTCGCATTTTTACCCTTCTAGTAGTCCCATATCGCCTCCGTGCAAAAAGAAATTTTTTCGGGAACCTTTTATTTCAAAAGTATCCTCGAGCTAAAATGACAACCTACGCTGATAATCACCCTCCCCTTTTTAGAAGATTGAGTAGGTTTGCTCGGAAACGGTGAGGAATTTTCAACTGTTGGGATTTTATCCCATTTTCCCATAAAATTTGGAATCGAATGGAAAGAACCTTAAGTCTCTACGACTATTCCTTGACCCCCAAAAAAGTGAGTGAGGGACTCAGTCGGATTTAGGGGCTATGTAGGTTCTTGATTGATGATTTTGAGGACGTTGCCGGTGACGGGGACCCGATTGCGGCATAGTTTCAGAAATGTCTCGACTTGACCTATCGATAGGGCGAATAAAAATTTTCAGTCGGTCGGTCCCCTTTTTTGAAGATTGAGTGGATTTTGTTGAATTTAGGCCTATTTAATCGTTTTGAGGGTGTTGCCGGTGACGGGGACCCGATTGCGGCACAGTTTCGGAAATGTCTCGACCAGACCTACCGATTAGGCGAATAAAAATTTTCAGTCGGTCGGTCGCCTTTTCTGAAGATTGAGTGGATTTCGTTGAATTTAGGCCTATTTAATCGTTTTGAGGGTGTTGCCGGTGACGGGGACCCGATTGCGGCACAGTTTCGGAAATGTCTCGACCAGACCTACCGATAGGGCGAATAAAAATTTTCAGTCGGTCGGTCCCCTTTTTTGAAGATTGAGTGGATTTTGTTGAATTTAGGCCTATTTTTATATTTTTTTAATATCGTTTTTTAGGATTGCGGCACAGTTTCGGAAATGTCTCGACCAGACCTACCGATGGGGCGAATAAAAATTTTCAGTCGGTCGGTCCCCTTTTTTGAAGATTGAGTGGATTTTGTTGAATTTAGGCCTATTTTTATTTTTTTTAAATATCGTTTTTTAGGATGTTGCCGGTGACGGGGACCCGATTGCGGCACAGTTTCGGAAATGTCTCGACCAGACCTACCGATGGGGCGAATAAAAATTTTCAGTCGGTCGGTCCCCTTTTTTGAAGATTGAGTGGATTTTGTTGAATTTAGGCCTATTTTTATATTTTTTTAATATCGTTTTTTAGGATGTTGCCGGTGACGGGGACCCGATTGCGGCACAGTTTCGGAAATGTCTCGACCAGACCTACCGATGGGGCGAATAAAAATTTTCAGTCGGTCGGTCCCCTTTTTTGAAGATTGAGTGGATTTTGTTGAATTTAGGCCTATTTTTATATTTTTATATAGCGTTTTTAGGATGTTGCCGGTGACGGGGACCCGATTGCGGCACAGTTTCGGAAATGTCTCGACCAGACCTACCGATGGGGCGAATAAAAATTTTTAGTCGGTCGGTCCCCTTTTTCGATGATTGAGTGGGTTTGCTCGGAAACTGTGAGGAATTTGGTCCGCTTTTTTGAAGATTAAGTAGGTTTGCTCGGAAACGGTTAGGAATTTTCAACTTTTGGGATTTTTCCCAATTTTCCCATAAAATTTG